CGAAATGCCGCGTTGACCGCGTCCCTGATGAAAGAGATTCTGTGAAATAAGTATAACGCTAAGATTTTTATGATGGCTACCCTTGGTAAACAAATCAACGATCACTTCGCACGATGACGATTCTCGCATAAGATCGTCGATTATTATTAATTTCGCACAAAGCGGATCGTTCGAGTAATCTTCCGGGCGGGGTAGTCCTTCGCGAAACTTGATTTTACATTTTCCTGTCATCTCGCGTTGCAACTCNAGATAGGCTTCTTGCCACTCGCCGTAATAAAATAAAATTCTCCCGAATCGAATATTCGCCATTTTCGGCAAATAACGGAGAAAAGTCTTTACAAAAATTGTTTTCCCGCATCCCGTAGGGTCGCAAAAAATCGATGTCCAGGGATGTTTCCAGCGCACGTCCATTTTGAAGACTGTGCGAATTGCCGCTCGTAATAATCTTAAATTAAACTGTTTTGTTTGCGACGATGAGCTCACCATCGCGCGTGGGGACTCCGCAGCGGCCGCGGTTCAGTGCGTTTTGCCGCGACAACGAGCTAATTTTTGTCGCGAGTGGTGAGCTTATTCCAGCCGATTTAAAAAGCTGTTTTCATGAAAAATTAGTTTATATTAGCGCGCGTACGTGCGCAAGATAAGCTCGTCAAATGCGCACGTTAATATAAGCTTATAGCGTTCTTTTGTTGGGCTTATATCAAACAGTTGGTTTCTAAGGATAAGAGAAAAAGAGATAGGGAAAAGAAAATCAATCTTTTCTATAATTTAGTTTCAATAAAAATTTAATAACACTAAAATATTACTTTTTACAAAATGTTTACAAATTCTATTGCTTACCTTAATCTACTATTACTACTAAAATTAAATAAATAAATTTATTTTTATACGGGATATATTCTTAAAATAACTTACATTTTATAGTTTTCTTTTATTATATACACAAAATGCCTGCTTACATAATTTCCTATTTGTTACAGACGGAAAACATATATACACAATTTTAAATGCTATTACTTTTAAAATATACAAACTATTTATTTACAAGAATGTAACGCGCGAAAAGAAAAAGACTTATTCCACGTAACCATATGGAAAAAAGCGTTGTTCGTCGATAAATCTACGCTTCAGCAAAACCGGCGAGCATGTTTTTGATTCGTCCCGCGTCACAACCTCGTGAAACGCAGTACGACAAATTGCCCTAAAATATAGATTTATCGACATATTTTCTCCTTGTTTTTTTCTCCTTCTTTGCATTAACATGTCTATAACACTAGTGAAATTAATTATGCGGGAGGTTGCAGAATTGAGGGTTATTTTCTTGATTTTACTTCCCGCGCGCTACCGTCCCAAGTACGAACTACATACGCGTAAAATTTCGGGCCACCGGATACGAACGACTCGATGCATTTATCGCGCCCGTAGCCTTCGAGCTCGTCCGTCATATCGCCCAAGAAATTTCTCGTACGCGGTTCGTATTTGCCAGATTCACTGCTGCTTACATAAATACACGAATCTGTATCGCAATAAAGAACGCGCTCGCCTAAACGTCCTAAATGTTCGTACAGTTTCAATCGCGCCTATGCCGTCGTGTACGCCGCTATTATCACGTTGGTAATCGGAGAGGGTACGACCGCCTCGTCCCGCATTCGCCACGAAACATATTACCTCGTCGTTCACGAGTAATATATATCGTGTACCTCGTGCTCGGAGCTTGACAATAGCGATACGAAACGTTCCTGCGACTTTACCACATCGGTACTCGTCAAATTCGATCGTTGCCCAAATTTTCCCCTAAACAAATTGAGGCACAGCTTTGCGACCGAGCGTAAGCCTGGATTTTGCACGATGTTTGCTCTATCTAGAGCGATAACCTCGACTTTGTATTCTTGAAGATATCGCTCTTTAGTATCCTTACCCACGCATTTGCTTGTACAACCGCTCGCCTCTTGCTTCACTTTGAGGAAACAGTTAATGTATTTGGTAAATAATTCCCCCTGACGAGTATCAGCGTCGTATCGACTCGTCTCGTATTGCCATATGTCGCTTGCCGCAGTCACGAGATTACCCTTTTCCACAGCTTTGCGTAATTCGCACCATATCCACACATCTTCGAATTTGCAATCACGCGGATTGTCATGCGAGCACCGGGTCTGCGAGAAGTTTTCGCAGCAACTGCGGCAGAAGGCGAACAACAGTTTGCCCCGCACGCAGTAAGGGAGTACGGGGTGAAAGAGATTGCGCGGAGGGAGCACTCTACAACGCACAAGACCCTCGACCGCGGAAAAATCGACACCGAGCATCGCTTCAATGAGCGAGGCACACTCTTTCTCTCCGACGAGAATTTTTGGATGTCCAATTGGGAAAGCACCGGTTTTGAATACGTAAGAGTACAGAGAATACACGTTTCCGTAACGTATTTTCTCCGTACCCGTAACTTCGCGCCGAATCGCAATGTTTTCCGTTCAACCGGAAAACGCGTCGCGCGGTGAGAGCGGTTCAGCTGCGAGCATCGGATGTTGGTCCAAAAATTTTTGCATTTCCCGATTTTCCCGCATATTGCAATCAAAAGCGCACTCTCATTTCTCCGTCACAATGTAGCCCCGTTTGCGAAGACGCCATGACGTTGTCAGCGTGCGTTTGTATCGCGAGTTCATTGTATTGTACGCTTCGTGTTCCGTACAAAAACGTTTGTCGCGTTTTGTTTTAAAACACGCGAGACACCCGTACCAAAAGCAGCCGTAGTATTGCAACACGTGACGTTTGCCGTTTGCCGTCTCGTAATATCTGTCGACGGGAATGCCTCCGTCTTCCGCGATACGATGTTCTCGTCCATGACTCGCGTGAACAACGGCGTGACCGAGCTCGCGCTCTTTCCACACCAGCCACTGCAAAGCTTTGCGGGATTGCGTATCCGCGAGGCGATATCCCCCACGAAGAATAACGCCGATCTCTTCCTCACGTAAAAAGTTTTTGCGGAAAACTCGCATACATGTGGAAGCGATAGTCTTGCATTTCTCAAACGGACATACGTTTCCTCGCTCGAGAAATATCTTGCGGAAGGCCATGCACGCTCGCCGCAGGATATCAACGTCGTTACGACAATAACGCACTATCTCGCGTTGAAAATCAAAGATTGCGTTTTTGCGCGTGTGTTCCGCATGTCACGACAAAAACCGCGCGCGTTTTTTGCTAGACATACTATCCGACGCGTAATATTTAACAGGTGATAACGGTCCAACATACGACTGATTCGCGAGAGTAATAAATAAATATGGAAAATATTTTTTTTCCACACCACTCCGCAAACCGAAAGCCTTCGGCAACGCTGACAAACGCATCGGCATGTAGTTGATGTTGTCGATAAATTTCGCACGCCCGACTGTTAATATGATGATCTTCGTCCCGTTTATTATTACTCGCAGATCAAAATCGACACGTTTTTCCACAATGTAACGCAAAATGAACTGAGAGTCAAACGCCTTAGCGTTGTGCGCAATGCAAATGATCTGCTTGAAACATTTCGTTGTTCTCGTAGCGAAATCGACGAATTGCTTCACCGGATCATCGCGAAATACGAATTCGCGCACACCGCACCACCGACAACGCACCGTCATGTTGTCCTCATTTGCATACGTGACACAAATCTGCTGCGCGACACAAAGAGTGGGCACGTGATTTTCACAGACGCGGTACCTTCGAGCGTCTCGTCTTGCCGGGTCTCAAAATCGTAAAACACGAATGCGACGCGCGCGTTTTTCTTCTTATCGGTGAAATCTTTGCGTGCAAGAGGTCGAATGTAACAAATATGGTTCACCTCTCGCCGCAAACTGCAAATGTTACAAAACACGACGCCGCGTTCGTGCCCCGTACCCGCTGTTTGGTACAAACGCCCGCAATCGTCATAAAATTGCAAGGTGCTGCACACGCCCACCCGGCCATCTCCGTACGATTTTTCGGCTCGGTGACACTCGAGACACTCGCGTCTGTAAAACATTTTTTTGCATCGCTTCCATTGAAGTAATTCTACTTTTCCGATTCGCACGACGACGCACCGCAACAACGCGGACATTGATGCGAGCACTGATGAACTCGTCGTCCGGGACGATAAGGCAGGTTGCAAGGAATGCAGTATCCTTTTCTCCTCGCCGCCGCTCTTAAATTTAAAATCGGGGAATAGTGACGCGAATCCTTGCAATAAAGAATATTTAATCGTAGCAAGAATTTGCGTCCGAGAGAGACGAGCAACGCGCTACCGTCGCACAACGGTTCCTCGCATTTTGCAAAAGCAGAAGAAACATATATAACTATGGCTATCCCCTCGACGGCAAGGTAACGTTGAAACTGCTTGATTTCTTCAATACCGCATCCGTCGTTTGGGATGGAGACACCCGCTCTTTCTATCAACTCCCGCGTCTATTGACGTTTTGTAAGCTAGAGTTCGAGCGTCTCATTGCTTTCCATCGCTGATGTAACTCGCCCGCGCGGGCGTACCTCGCTCGATGTATACCTGTGCGGCAACGAGCAAGCGAGGGAAACAGAGCTCGTCGCTATCCGTTATTGTGAGAATCGAGCGTTTCCCGATTCCTATTGCATCCAGAGAACAGCCTCCTCTACCCGACGGAGAGTGGACGGTGCATACGCGTATCGAAAAGATGCAGCGATGTCTATCTCTCCGTTACTTTGCGCAACCGACCTCATGAGAGACCAAATATTCTTATGAGTCAAGTCACGCGCAGGGCGGAAAGAAAGACCCGCTGCACCGTTGGTCAAAGTCGGGGCGTCGAACCACACCCCGACGTAATTACCCGGCCCCGCAAAATATGTTCGCGTATCCATGAATTTCGCGAAATGTACCCTCTACCTATTCCACTATTTCGGCACCATCCCGAATTTCGCGGATCTCGAATGTCCCCCTCGTTTCCTATTATCCCGAATTTCTTAAATCTACGCTCGTTTTCCGCCTGTAATATTATAAATGTATAATTATTATTTTTTCCGACCTGCTCGCCTCTGTTGTTGTTGTCATCGGCGGAGCTGTCGGTGTCGGGGGTAACGGCAACGGTGTCGAGAGCGGTGCTGCCGGTGTAACGCACCCCGATGTTGGTGATGTCGTTGTCGTCGTCATCACTGTTGCTGCGCTCGTTGTTGGCGCCGTTCTGATTACTACTATTTTCCCGCGCAGCTACAGCTCCGCCGCCGTATTGTACTGTAAATAAAAATAGCTTAATACAAAAATTCTCAATATATTAACAAACGATTATCAAACGGCGTTACAGAATAAACGATCTAATAATTGATACATTAGACAGACGCTTCAATTATGATTGATTAAATCTATATATAACGTATTGTATATAATGTATTGTAAATATTATATTGTTATAGTAATAAAAATTCAGGCTAAATTTAATGAAAAATATACTAAGTGTGGAAAACATGACTCTTCTTACCACGTCAATTTCTACTAACAAAGGGAGCACCAAAAGTGGTTATCGTGAAATTCGATGCCAATTTTTTTGGTAGTTCTATAGGTCAAAAAAGTTGTTCCGTGTTCGGCCGTTTGTTCCAATAGGCCTAGTTTTCAAGTTTTTAATTTTGAAAAAACACGGCTTTCTTAGGTGCACCGGAAAAGTCCGTTCCGTTAAGTCTATTTGCAATCGGCTTCGAGTGGATCAGTGAGTTAGGTGCGTGCATCGTAACTCGAGGCATGCGGGTTCAAATCCTGCAATCAATAACATTTGTTTTGTTCTTGTTGAATGTATTTTACATTGTTATATATGTTTTTGCATTTTATTTAATGTGTATTTAAAATTATATGTAAGAAATATATAATATAAAGTTTTGAATATATCGGAGAGGAACAAAACAAATTAAAATCTTATTGTAAATGTTGTTACAGAAAGTTATTTATTTAGTATTTGATTTATTTGACGTACAGTGTTGAGAGTAATACATATCCTAAAAACACGGAGAACATTGAAATTTTCTATAATTGGAACATTGTATAAACGACATCATGTCACATGAACATTTATTTTTCCGAATGTCTGGTGGAAAACGAATCTGATTTACATTAGAAAATACAGGTTTTTCCGAAGTCAATTTTGAAGCGTACCATGCAAATCGAATCATGTTATTGAAAAAGTTTGATGACAATTGTGAATGTGTATCAACAAATGAATCTTGATCGCGTCTTCTCGGGTTGACAGTTGACGGTTTTGTTGCAAAATATGTGTGCAATCCTGTATTTGTTTTACGAAATTTTTTATTTGTCGAAAAAAGTACACGTCGTAAGGCTGACAAAACGGCGTGCAGTGTGGTGGAATAATATCTAGTGTTGACGTACAATTGCCTTCAATATCTGTAAAAATATTATTGATTTGTGCCGTGTTCGTTTGGCCTCCCCCAAATTAGCAAAAATTCTTCGTTTTTACAGTTATGGATTACATTTATGACAAACTTAATAATATGATCTTTTGTCAGTTTACCCGATTTTGAAGCAGTAACAACCATCGTTGCCGTAGCTTTTTGACAAATTGTTGACGATATTAGCAACACGAGGACCAAACGTGTCATTCGGCTCTTGCAACATAAGAAAACTTTTGTAATAATTTACCAGAAGCCGTTATTGCGTACTGTGCAGTGTAGCTGTGAGTAACTTTATTAAAATCACCGAGAAACACTTCTGTTGTTTTTTCTCCTTTTGTTGACAATACTCTCTTCACATCGTAACGATATTCACATCCAGTTTGATCAGTATTGATGACGTAATTCTTGTCGAAGTATGCGATTGTTTTGGCAACACGTTTTTAAAATTTGTATGCCTCTTGTAATATCGTCGCAGTATCCAATGCCTTTTTAGATTTTATGTAACGTGTTATTTTTCTCTGTCGAATGTTATGAGATGCTTTAAATCGGTCTAACCATAATTTGCTTGCTGTAAAATCGAAGTCTTTAAATTGCAATGCAGCTTGAGAAGCCCATTGCTGAAGCAATCTTGTTGTGACCGATTTTTTTCACCTTTTGCTTCACGAAAACGATCAAATACCCACTTGTTAATTGCTTCAAATTTTTCTCTGGTGCTTCCACCTTTCTCGATTTCTGTACGCCACCGTAACAAATGTGATTTATTCGTTAATGCACTTTCTCTCATTTTCTGAAGTGTTTTTAAACTCTAGTTGGGGTGTTCCCTAGCTAAATTAACGATTTTAATTTTTGTTTCCAATGGCACGTAAGTTTTATTGATCTTGCTTGGAGGTTGCTCGAATTCTTCATTGTCCGATAACGACAAAGCGGATGTGCTTGATGAAGTAGTTTTGCGCGAAATTTCTGATTTCTCCGGCGATGATGCGTCAGACGTCTCCACTTCTGCACTTTTGTCGTCTATGACTTCGTTTGGTAATAATACCTCGTAATCTTCATAAAAGTCAAAATCTTCTAGTAGTTCTATAATAACTTCAGTCATTTTTTCTCCAAGAAGTTTAGCTTTAGTGTTGCTGATATTGTCGCTTGGCTTTTCTTCACAGATGTTTAAAGAACGAAGATTTTCACAACATAGTTTCAAACCGTCGGTAATATCCTGTGTATTGTACGACGACACAAACGGAAAAGTTTCAGATTCAGGATTTACATGAATAATAGATGCACTACTTGTACCTGGTGTATTTTTGCTTTCCATTTTCAAATGTTCGCTTTTTCTTTTAAAATATCATGCACGATGCAGCTGTTTGCAAGAGCAGACGCAGACTGGATCCATACCAACAATGAACTTCCCTAAAATTTTTTATGGAATTTCTTTCCTCCCGCTCTGACAGAATAACGGTCGCTTTTATAGAGATTCTGAGCAGATACCTGACCTATGGACTGTAAATATTTCTTCACTAAAAATTCTTAAAAATACATTTTTCAAACACTATTCGAACGTGTTGAATTTTAAATATAAATTTTAAAAAATAAGAGTTATGTGGTATAATACATTCATAATTGTCATCAAACTTTTTCAATAACATGATTCGATTTGCATGGTACGCTTCAAAATTGACTTCGGAAAAACCTGTATTTTCTAATGTAAATCAGATTCGTTTTCCATCAGACATTCGGAAAAATAAATGTTCATGTGGCATGGCGTCGTTTATACAATGTTCCAATTGTAGAAAATTTCAATGTTCTCCGTGTTTTTAGGATATGTATTACCCTCAACACTGTACGTCAAATAAATCAAATACTGAATAAATAACTTTCTGTAACAACATTTACAATAAGATTTTAATTTGTCTTGTTCCTCTCCGATATATTCAAAACTTTATATTATATATTTCTTACATATAATTTTAAATACACATTAAATAAAATGCAAAAACATATATAACAATGTAAAATACATTCAACAAGAACAAATGTTATTGATTGCAGGATTTGAACCCGCATGCCTCGAGTTACGATGCACGCACCTAACTCACTGATCCACTCAAAGCCGATTGCAAATAGACTTAACGGAACAACTTTTCCGGTGCACCTAAAAAAGCCGTGTTTTTTCAAAATTAAAAACTTGAAAACTAGGCCCATTGGAACAAACGGCCAAACATGGAACAACTTTTTTGATCTATAGAACCACCAAAAAAATTTGCATCGAATTTCACGATAACCACTTCTGGTGCTCCTTTGGAAGTAACATAATAAAAACGCGTCCGGACATGCGCAATATTAATGGAACTATGTTCGATATTAATTAAAAATGAGAAATTTATTTTTATTTAATATTTCTTAGTGATATTTCTTATTTTTGATATTTCTTAATATTTAATTTTATACAGGAAAATTAAAAAAGTAAGTCATATATGCGCAGTCGATTATATATGTATTTAGAAACACGTATTTATTTATCAACAAATAGAATTGAAGTGTCTACCTAATTTATATCACTAATTGGGTATTTTATTCTCATTATTTATCTAATTATATTTTACACTTATATACAATTATATCTAATTTATTATAATTATATCTAATTATATTTTACACTTATACACAATATTATTTTGCAATACTATATAATAATTTCTAAATAATCACCTCTCGACCCTTCCACCGCTTCCTCGACGGAATCTTTATTGACGTCTTCGTCGGCGTCTTCGCCGCGCTCATTGTTGTCGGCGTCGTCGACGTCGTCTTCGTCGTCCTCGTTCTCGTTGTCGGCACCGGTGTCGGTGTCGTTCTCGTCGTCGCCGGCATCGGTATCGGCGTCGTTCTCGTCGTCGTCGTTGTCGTCGGCATTGGTGTCGTCGGCATTGCTTTCGATGTTTCCGATAAGAGCTCTGTTTCCCGCTCATGGCGTTCGTCTTCCATCTGCGCTTCCAGCCACCTTCTTCGAAGCTTCTCCACCACTCATTGACGGTGGTTTTCTTCCGCTTCCGCCAGCTGATAATGATCCGACAATGTTCCTGGCGGTCGCCTGATGTGCAATGCCATTTGCACTTCATCATTATCTGAAAAATTAATTTAATATATACATATATATATATATTCTATTTTCTCTTCATAATGTTTTAAATATTTAGATAGGTTTTTACTTATTAGAATCGGCGAGAGGAGCCGCTACAGGAGGAGCAGGAAGACGCTCCGCTTTAGCTCTATGCGCTCTTCCTACAATTTGAAAATCATCGGTTAATATATTTTTATTCTAGCGTTAATAATTCTTGTTTTACTTATATACTTACGTAGAGGAGGTTCGTTTGCTTCTTCTTCTATCTCCTCTCGTCGTCGCAAAGAAAGGCGTCCCCTCGTCCGCATTGGCGATACTCTCGCTATCGGACAAGGTTCCGCACTAGAACGACGGGGTGCAGGCGGCAACGTTCCGTGGCACCTCGATCGCATCTTGTTCCTGCTGCTGCTGCTGTTGCTGCCAAAAAGCAGGACGGGGTTGCGTTGATACAGCTTCTTTATTTGCCGTCACTTCGACACGATTGTTTACTAAATGAAGTAAAACATGCGGTATATATAAAAAGTATTACGAATGTGAAAATAATATATTCTTACGAAAATAAAACTTTTACTCACCCATATTATCGTGCATCATTTGTGCGATTAACCCTCGCACATCTTCCTCCTCGTGCTGGAGCGCCGAGCGAAATTCGACTACTTCGCACGCGATGCGCAATAGTCGAGGATCCTCGTCGAAAAATCGCAGCGCGTACAACGTTGCGAGGAAAGTATTAGATATGCGCGATATGTTGGAATAAATCTATGTTGCCTGCGTTTTCTTGTATTCGCAGCAACACACTCCGCATATGTGTTGTCATGAATATATCGAATGTACATTGCATGACATGAGTTGCAATGTCTTTTATTATTTTTTCCGACATTTTTTTAATAAAGTTATTTTCTAAACCGCACTTAGAAAATAGTACTTACTTCGAATAAAGAACACAGAACTGCAGAACACTCTGGTACTTGCATCAAACTCAGACTGTGACTTGACCATGTTACAGCAAACTTTTATACTCTTTTCACCTCCCAAAAATCACAAGCTGCCTGGACCCCCGAGTGGAGCCAGGATGTCGCAAATTTACAAACATGTACTTTAGAAAACGTATCAAGTTTTTGATATTTTTCGACACCGGGTGAAAATCGTTTAGCCACATTTTCCATAGCGTCGACAATTTTAGAACTGAGGGTGCAGTAAATGGAGACGAGACGCATATCGGACTTTTAGCCCCGACATAGTTTCTGTTTTTTTTTTTTTTGTTATCGAGATGTTTGTTGCCGGAATAAAAGACCTTTTTTAATTGCGTTCCCATAAATCATACGCTAACTACACTCCGAACCGTGACAGAGGGTCACAGATTTTGAGATATATGAAAATTTACGACTTCAAGCCAGCCTTCCAAAACAACCTTCGAGATAGACGTGTACGTGAAGACACGTCGCATCAGGATGCAAAATATAAGAGCAACTTATATCAAGGAATTTATCATTTATTTTATATGCGCGCGGATGGCGCAAACTCTTTTTAGGTTTTGTCTTTCCAGACTAGTGCGTGCGAATAGAATGGGTTTGAGGAATAATAGAACAATATACATATGTATTTATGTTGTAAAAAGACGCTATACTTTTTATTCACATTGAAACATATTTTTGTATACAAGCAACACGAAAGAAAATATTATTTCTAACGCCTTGTTAAAATAATGTGAACAACATTGTCCAAATAAATTGTACTCATTTCTAGAAATACCAAGGTAAAATACGTATAAAACGGCAAATTGTAAATTTGCGTCCGTACAGCCCGTTCGCTGTCGTTATAATTACCTCTGATTGTTAATTTGACAATGTCTGCGTTTATATAAGCTTTCGGGAGTAACAATTCTGTTTCTTGTATGAAATACTTAGAACATTCGCTAACACTAGACGCTAATGTTTCTAGGTGATTTATATACGCATTAACACATTGCGCTATATTCTGCAGACTATTTTTGCATAACGATAGAAGCTGTGAATATCTTTCGCTTCTTTGCTTTAGAACAATCCGAATCTTCTTCTCTCGCTGTCTCGCCGTTAAATGTTTCTTTTCCTCCAGACTCTTTGTGTGAAATTAATACGGCTTTCGCTCCGTACGCCGTAGTAAATGCGATTGTGATATTATTTATTACAATCGGCTCCGTCTTATATATTTATCTCCATCGAAGTACAGGCTTATTAATGACGTAGTGTCTTGAAATTTCTTTCACGCGTCAGCATCGAGCCATATAGTGTTTGTTCCATTCCCACATAGTTTAATAGCAGGATAAAAAAATCCGTTCTTTACATCCGGGAGAAATCCTACCTGAATTCTCTTTGTGTGCAAATTATTTGATCCGTACACGGTGGAAAGCAACATCTCGTGTCTCCCATTTTACTTCTCAGTGATTGACGTGTGCAATTTTGAAATAGATTCAAATTGCTGTCACCGCCATTTTTTCGCACTTTTCACTTTAACAAATATTCACAACGTAATAAGTTACCACAACTACTACCAACGCAACTGTTTGCAACAGAATAATGCTCTGCATTTTGTTACTTCGCTCTATTTATACCAACTCTGACTTCTTATGCGCATGAGTATCAACTTATTTTACTACCGCTCCTTTCGTTTAGGCGACAAATTAACAAGCATTTCAAAAAGTTATAAATTATTTTTATCATTGTCTGCAGCAAATAGTTCTTTACCGTCGCATTTATTCTGCGCCGTAGCTACTCAACCATGCACACACATGTTTATGAAAAAACATACAACAAAAAAGTTTTTTAAATAAACATTTTTATTATACATTGAATATCCATGCGATCAAATCCCTCGTAGAATTTTTGAAGATTCTCGCTCTGACGTAATATGCATCGGCTTTTCACACGACGCAGCAGGCGCCAGATAGGCGCGAACCTGTGTGACCATTGTCTAGCTTAGTCTAGTTGTTACGCGTAGATTCTAGAACTTTCCATGTTTATTTTAAGTATCATAAAAACCGACGGTTAGCGATAAAACCGTGACGCACCATCGACCCTTCGAAATATCTTACCATATAGGGCAATCTTTCGAGACAGGAAATGATTGTCCTAGCACACAGCCGAATCTAGAACATTCTAGATTATTCTCGAACATTCGAGAATGCTCTAGAATATTACCAAATAAGGAAAACTCCAGAACCTTACTTGGCCGAACTCAGGCCCTATAAAAGCGCGCCCTCGAACCGAGGCGGGCAGTCAGAATCGAGCAGTCAGTTACAGTCAATCAGTTATCATCACGTAGTTATTAGTAGTGAACTGTGTATTTTAATTATAGTCGCGCAGTTATTTTAAACAATTATTGTAACATCGTCACAAGAAACCAGTATAAAATAAAACTGAATAAACAATTTTCTATATTAATCAGTGTGACGATTCTTACACCTGCATGCGCCTGTTCGTGCACGCCCAAACATTTTAAGAAAATATTCCATAATCGCGCGGGAAACTTCTTATTGTGTGCCAATAGTCATATACCCATTTTCCCTATCAATTCATCAAATAAGGACCCCGTAAAAAAAGTCAACCTTCATCAAAGATTTACAAATCCTATCTCTATTTTGACCGGACCCACCGACTATCTCGGCCGGAGCCAGGGACGCTTGCTGGTAGGGGTTTGTTTTGACGCGCCATACCGGACCAAGAGCTCATTGGCTCCTTCCCGGGATTCTAACATTAGCTCCAACTATCCCTTAACCTCTCTCATTGGGAGTCATATCGTACCACGCGCTTATTGGTCTTTCCCGGGCCCGATCCTTCACCCTTACATCTACTCCCTCGTTTTCTACCCACGCTCAGCTTCAGTCCTTATACACGTTCCAACGCTCGAAGCAACACCATCGGATCACCATTTACGCTTCACGCCGAATTTCTTTTTAATAAACTATTACTCCCAAATTTTCCTTTCTTCTCCTTGCATCCATATAATGTGCAACTAAAAATATACTTTATTTGCTACAACATATTTATAAACAATTTATAAAAAAGGACAAAAAAATCATAAATCATGTCAACTATCTAGCCTCTCCACCAGGGCGTGGATTCTAGTCAGAAAAGGTGGGGGAACCCTGACAGAAAGGGTAGGGAAATCCGAAGTGGGGCACTGGCGGCAGTAGTGGTGAAGGGGCCAGGTGAAGGGGATTTGTTTTGACGCGCCTTAACGAGCCACATACTACTGACAAAAATGAAGTTGATAAGCGTCACAAGACACCAAGTGTGCGTAATAGGTAAAATTGTTGCAATAATATAATTAAAAAACAAAAATAAGCATCTGATTGTTTGTAGTAAAAGATAACATCTCGAATAACTACACAGGCCCACAAAAGAAATGTTCTGAACTTGAAATGAGAAACATGTTTTCTTACGTATTTTGAAGTGCTGAATCAAAATCTGAAGTCAAATTAGGGGCTTCCCAGATCGATCTTCTTTAAATTGCGTTTAGTCATCAGAAAATTCTGAAAACCAGGAAAACGCATTCAAATAATCTCGTTAGGGTAAACCTATTAAGAAGATGGAAAGACGATATCAAGGACCATGAGGCGTACATATGATGGCGGACTTCTGCTGGACGTTAAGGAGAGACATAACTTCAAAAAGAAACAAACGTAAAAAAATCTCTTACGGAAATCTTTCGAGGATAAAAAAGTACGTAAACGAGCAAAACATTAAAGAAATTACTTACGTAAATAAAGTTTGAATTAAGTGGTTTACTTGACGATAAAAGGCCTACTTTATCGTCTGCCTCTGGTGTACCTGGCTTGAGGTACTTGAGTTACTTGACAACAAAAGGCCCACTCGATTGCCTGTTTTGATTGTAACTGGCTTGCGGTACTTAGTTTACTTGAAAATAGAAAGCTCACTTGTTCCGCCTGTAGTCTCCGGTGTAGTGATCTTAGGTATGTGGTTTACTTGACAATAAAAGGCTTACCCCAACGAGATTATCTGA